TTGGCGCCCCGACTTCTGCGTCAAGCAGCTGCACGTGCGGCAAGTTTGGTGAGTATAGAATATATATATATATATATATATAAAGATTTTATGATATTTTACTTGTTTTACTGCTCACTATAAAACAAAAAAAGGTCCTTGCATTTTTTTCTGCTTACTGCAGCTGATATTAACTTTACTAAGAATTTTGTTCAAATTTTATTCGAGGAAAAATTTTTTTTGAAAATTATACTACTTGAGAAGCACTCAGCCGCTAAAATTCACCCAGATAAATGCTCTAATTCATCTCTATGAGGTTATTTTATATTACATGTTTTCCAGCATCAGGTCGTTCCTTTGGACCTTGAGGCTCAGAAAAAGAGAGCGCTACCTTCTATCGACGAGAAGCCCGAAAAGACTGAAATTCCATCAAAGTTCAGACGGTTCCGAGCCATTTCATTGCAATACGGCCTCTCTAATGGCAAAGGACTTTTCCGCTGAACTGGATTTACGCAGTTTTCCTCCCAACAACAATCTCCTACGTCGCTTAATAAGCCGATAATTTTGTAAAAATAACATGTAGTCTGTGAGATCAGACGTGTTTTTAACGAACGTTCTCGATAATAAACCTGTGATCAGCATATTATCAGTGAATATAATATTTTCCAGTAGTATGAATGCTCCACAAATGCTAAGAATAGAATAGCTTTGAAAATCGTTTAATTTCTTTTCTTATCAAACAACATTTCAACAGGTGGGGCTGTAAGTTGCTAGAAATAAAGGAGCATATGGGAACAAACAGAGATCAACACCAAATTTTTGTCTAACCATTGCCTCACAGATTAAAACAGATTACATGTATACTAGAAAATTTTCACTAAACGCTTCTGACAACGTAAGTAAAACGAGTGAAGTAGTTGAATAGCTGAACATTTTTTCTAGAAGCTTCTTACACTAGAAAACTTGCATCCAACCTATTTGACCACTGAATATCCAAAAACCCGAGCGTCCCTTAAAATGGCTCCATTACGCTAAGAAAGCTTAGAAAAGTATTCAAAATGTCAATGTAGCTCCTACAGTTACATTTAAATGCAAAATAAAAATAATTCCTTCATAGAGGTGTCACTAAACAGGGTACCTGCTATTATAAATAAGTTGATGATTCAGTTGTAACAATTTAAAGAAGATAATTGTCTTGCATTTCTCCGTCATCTGTGAGTATTATTTCGATTTTATCTGATTCCGGTGCCTGCATGAACGACTTCTTCTCTTCGCTGTTTTTCCCGGGGAAGGTTCGCAAGCTTTGCAGGCAATCTAAAAGGTTTATCTGATTGAAAAAAGAAATGCTGCGTTTGTTTATTCTCTAATTACTAACCACTTTGGTAATTTGAAGTCTCCTCTTTACGTTTTGAGCAATCATTGGGAATGTGTGTAGTTATCGCAGTAGATTTGCAGTCTCCTGGTTTTTCCTCTAAAATTGAAGAAAAGCTGAGGAATTTTTTTTCATAAGAGGCTGCTTAAATATTACTACGAACAAAATTTGACCTCTTCGCTCTAAATTTCCATGCAACTTCATTTAAAAGTCGTCTGCAAATGATGAAAGAGATTATTAATGCTCTTTTCCTTTGTTATATGTAAAAAGAACTCGAGAATATACTTTACCTGTCTGGACACGGACTCGTCCTCGTGGTTTCACCTTGAAACGCAAAAATGGGATTGCTTTGACGAATCCTTCCCTAAATGAAGAGGAATATTCATTCTGAACAAAGACCCGAAAAAACGAACCTAAATGAATCGTTCATCCAAGCATAAAGAATAGGATTCCAACATGTTGCAGTCATACTAATAAGGTGGACAATAAGAAATATAAAGCTGAAGTGTGGCCGTATGAATTCGTCCCAATGTAAATCTCGAAGGATATTTCTAAAAATCAAAGTTAACAAGAGCTGAATATAACTATGCGTAGAAAGTTTGGAAATGAAACATACAAGAAATTGAATGGGAACCAGCAAACAGCAAAGATTACCACCATTATC